ATGAGGTTCACACAGGCCCACCTCTCATGCCTGTCCAGGTCTCTCTGGATGGTATTCCTTCCCTCCAGCGTGTCGACTGCATCAGACAGCTTGGTGTCGTTGGCAAACTTGCTGAGGGTGCACTCGATCCCACTGTCCATGTCGCCAACAAAGACGTCAAACAGCACAGGTCCCAATACTGACCCCTGAGGAACACCACTTGTCACCGGTCTCCACTTGGACATCAAGCCCTTCCAGCCAATACCTTATGCACTGAGTGGTCCATCTGTCAAATCCATGTTTCTCCAATTCAGAGACAAGGATGTCGTACAGGACAGTGTGAAATGCTTTGCACAAGTCACCTTTATAGTCAGCACTAGCTTTAAGAACAGAGGTTCAAAACTAAAATACCCATGATCCAATCTATGCTTCAAATGATATGGGCACCTAATACCATGACTGCAAGATGCAACACACACATTGCTGCCTGCACTGGGGTACACTTTGACAGAGCATTCTTTTGATAAAGTAGAAGTTAAATGGTAGGGACACAAAATAAAAATTCCTGATGTCGAATGCTTTATAAGATAAAAAGTTGAGGTCCATCTCTGAAACATCTTCTCCTCAGACACAGTACAATAAAGAAACACATTTTTCAAAAAGCAAGCATTCGGGGCAGCAGCTGGCATGGAAAGGGAAGTTTAATTAATACTGTTGCATTCGTATCATATGGCTTTAAGGACTGTCTTATGCAAGTTTTCCAAAAACAAGTCTGTACAATAGCATATTCTGTATTTTACATTATTAGCCAGCAGTAGAATACTTGAACAATGGATATTTCATGTGAGGATAACTGAAGTACAAATAGGACTGTTCCTTGTGTGTTTTGCAAAATGATTTAAGCAAGGCTTAGTATAAAAATTATAAAAGCAAAACTTAGTGCTCCCCACCTACTCAATACCTTACATTATCACAGTTTATACAATAATATCCCAGTATCAAGGAAATGAAACAATTATGAAACCATCATATCAGGCATAAAAGCAAAATATGGGTAATTCCAAGATTTTTGAGTAATCTCATGTTACCAGGTAAAATCAGTCTAGCTTTTTATAAAATACTGAGTTAAACTTTTCCAAAGCAAGACTGTTTCATCCTGTTTTACTGCACGTGGTATGAACTTGAGCAAAATTCCTCAGTGGTGTGTTTGACGTGGTAACTTCAGTAGGTCAGTCTCTTTTTAAATATCTTTCCTCATTTTCACAATAAGGCCTTTCAGTTTGGGCAGTATAAGAAATGATTATGTCTTCCACCCACACACATTTCTTTAATATTAGGTGAAACTTACTACATCATAGCGTCTTTTAATGTATGCAAATTATTTCCTAGTATGAAGGGAATGATGCATTCACAAGGTTTCTTACACATCTCTATGGAGGTGAAAACTGAACTGGCTAATGACTTATTTACACTTTCCCACATATTTTGACTATAGATACTCTTCTACAAAGGACCATTCATTGTTAGCAAAGCTTTGATGTAGCATTCATAGTAAGCTGGCTTCTGATGTGCTCCGCAGAATATCTAGAGTTCACATCATGCACAGAGCATTTTACTTTCACTTATCTTACAATGCAATTTTAATTTAGTGGATTTTGTAAGAGACAATTTACCAAAGATGTAAGCATTCATAGCTATGAATTAGTAAAGCTTTTAGCATTTAGCATGTGACTTGAATTGGAAAAAAAGCTTATGCAGACTGTTCCAGGGGGACATTAATGCTAGCTGTCTCCTCACTCCATAACAACAACCCAGCATGACACTGATGTGAGGTAACATGCCATCCAGCATGTCTGTGCAACCTTCCCAGTGCTATTCTGGCCTAGCTCTCACCTCCCACTGGGTTTAAGATTCCTCCACAAACTCCTTATACTGAAGTGGTCTTACTGCCAAGGTTTTTGAACTCAGAACATCAGTTTATGAGTCCAGAAACATATACAACAATATTATGCCTCCAAATACATTATTGATAGTGACAGCATTACAAACCTAGAAGCCTAAGTATACACAGAATGGAAAAGACATTGAAAATCAGCAGTGGCAAAGAAAAAATTCTGTTTATCTTAAATTATATTTAAATGGCTAACATGGCTAGCTGCAGTTATTTTGTTATGAAAACATTTTCCATAAGTGTTTAGCTGTATGACTTTCCATGTAACTCACTTTGAACCCTGAGAATGAACATAAAACATCATACATGAAACATTATCAAACCTGTATTTACTGACTTTATCACTTGTCATTATGGTATGCTTTAGGTAGCGCTAATGACATACCAACTGAGCCAAACTGTAGCACCTCAGGAAGCAAACAGCCCAGAGCTGGTTGCACCAGTCATAATTGAACTCCCTACCTGACTGTTACAACAATGTCTTATTCACCAATGCCTGTTCATACATACAATGTACTACAGTTTCTTCTTTTAAAAAAATCTGGAGCTCTTCTTATTTCAATAATAGTAATAGCTCTGAAAGCTGATTCAGAAGTCTCAGATACCAATGAGTTACTATTTTCACCTGGATAATGAATTAGGCTGTGCTTTTTAAAAACCTCATTTTATCAATCTTCCTACCTACCTTTGGTGTAAAATGGTTCTCCAGCAATAACTAGTGAGTAGCTCCATCCAACGCTCATGCTATTTGAGTATTATTTGAGTATTTGTTGCTTATTATCTGTGTCCTCCTTAGCATGACAACTTGAGAAAGCTGTGACCGCTGTGTGAGATCTAGCGAGCCCACAAACCAGTTCCATCAATTTACAGAGCAACCTTTAATCTAATGCAATCTTCTGGCCTGGCGACAAGCACAGTAGCAAGTCGAGTGCCATTTGACTTGTAGCAGCTTAGCAGCTTTTCAAAATAAGAGCAGACCAGCAACACTTACCTGGAGGGCCTGGAAGACCTGCTTGTCCCGGAAACCCATCCACTCCTGGGTCACCTGGAAGCCCACGAATTCCACTGGGACCTGGATATCCAACGCCAGGAGAACCAGTTTCTCCACGATGGCCCTTGGAGCCAGGTAATCCTGGCAGTCCTTTTTCACCTGGGAAACCTAGCCCACCATCACCCTGTGCACAACAAAGACAATTACAGCTGATAGTCAAAGACATGTAGAAAGAATATACACCACTATCATTTTAACAAGTCCATAAGAGTTTGGTTGGTTCTGTGCAAAGTTCAGATGGGCCTGGGAAGGTACATGGAAACCACTGCAAATTATCCATCATTATTTCAAAAGGCAGGAAAACTCAGTGACTACTAAAAATAATATATTATGTTGTATTTGCTAGAATGTAAATATTGCATATTCTAAAAGACACTTACTTTCTTTATAATTAAAAAGACTCTAGTGTGATTTTTCTGTTCCAAGATTTCAGTCATAATTATGCCCACAGTATCTTTTATCTTTTAGGACTCAATATAAAAGAGCATCAGGGCCTACCCCACTACTGGAAGCTTATCTTTTGACTGGGTAACCAAAGGCATAATGGTTGCCAATTATTAATCTTGACCAAAACAGATTTTTGCTCAGCGACTGTAAGCTTTTTATGCATTTGGAGACTTACTACAGGGCTAATCAGGACTACTAAGCCAGGCCTTTCTATTGTCTCTGCTCCTTACTCCAGTTCTGAAGCACTGCTGCTAAATTAATCTGAACTTACTGGAGGGCCCGGTGGGCCTGGCAAGCCTGGAAGTCCATCTCTGCCAGGGGTTCCTGGGATGCCTGAAGGTCCTCGGGGTGCTGTTGCACCACGGTCCCCACGAGCACCTCTGCCTGTTGCGTAGGATGAATCTCCTTTTTCTCCCTTAACACCTGGAAGACCTTGCTGACCAGCCAAAGCCTACAGGCCAAAAGACAAAAAAAAACAGGAATATGAACATGCAGAGAAAAGGTTTTGCTTCTTAAAAATGTCATATGAGGACAGGACACCATGACTGGAGCTAGGAAGAATCTCCAAAGGGTTTCCTCTTGTATACATTACACTTTAAAAAAAAAAAAAAAAAAGAGGAATTTTGATTATTTCCAAATGTTTCAATCAAGTCACTACAGCTTTACAGTGGCAAGCCAAACCCTGGTATATAGCACTATAGTGACAGCGATCTTGGATGGCACCTGGGAACATTACATCACTCATGGTATAACAGGGCCCAAGTATTGAATCTTCTTCTCTGTTACTTGGTGTGCTGCATTTACTGACACCGATAAAGATACTCCAAAGACAAAAGACTGGTATCTTTATGCACTGCAATTTTCAAAAGTAAATACTGCCAATGAGCAGTGCTCAGCACTTTGGAAAATCCTGTTTGTTATGGTTGCTGTTTCATAAAAAACACAGCTTAACTCTCACTAATGTATTTAGCATACAGCAGTTGAGAAGGAGACTGCATCTATGGCAGTCCAGTTTCTATAGCTATGAGCAATGATGTGGAAAGATCTCACCATTCAGTTTTTCAGGTCTTCTCCCTGTGCAGATGTATATTTGCTTCCCCAGCCAGCCCTCACTTAAGGACAACCCTGGGTCTAATCCATGTATGCCTACGGCCAAGAAGCCCTGGGATGAATAATTGTTACTGTTTTTCTATTGACTGCTAAACGTGCAGTTCTCAGAACTTAAGAACCATTTTTTCTCCCATTTTTTTATAGGTGATAATTTCTGTACTTTCAGCTTCTTTTCACAGATCAGTTTCTTGATTGCTCTTCTTTTTTTTAATCCAAAGAAGCAGAAGAAATTATGCAAAAAAATGTGTTCTGCTTTCACTACAATCAACACTAGCAATTGCACATGGGCACTTTTTCTCCTTTAGTTCACGACAACAAATATAAACTCTTCCTGCCTTACCGGAGGGCCTCGCAGTCCTGGTGCACCCACAGTGCCTGGGTCTCCACCAATGCCCTTAATCCCAGGCACACCAGGGCTTCCCGATGGACCCGGTGGACCTGAGATGCCTTTTAGACCAGCTCGTGTAACTCCTCCATCACAAGCACAATCACCTGCCTCTCCTGGAAAATACAGTCAACACTCCAAATTCAGTTTCATTTGGATAAAGACCCTTTTCAGTCGCAAAAGCTCCAAAAGCAGTGTTTGATTCAATTAGGACAAAGTCATTCTCATATAATTTGATTTTGCAGCTACTCTGCTCAAGTCACGTGACTGTCAAGCAAGTGGAGCTCAGGTTTTGTCCAGGTTAATTTCTATGCAATGCCCATCACCAAATTACCACGTGCAGCATGAACCTCAGCACTTCTTGACCTCTTCCCAAAGATTTAGACCCTCCTAAACAGATGGTTTTATGAGAGTTTTAGGTCAGAAGCCTTGTGTTTTTTCAAGAGACAGTTGTATGTCAGACAAAGTAAATCCATACTCTCACTCACAGTAGGTTACAATGACCCTCAGCTGGGTATATTTTCCTGAATCGTAACTGGCCATAGATCCAAACAATCACAAAGCACAGTGATGTCTGCATTGCCATAGTTTTTGCTGCTGGTTCTGTCATGCACTAAGACCCAAATTCTCATCATTTTCAGCACAGAGGAGAATAAAATTACGTTTCTCTGTCATTTTCAGCCTATATTGCAAAAACCAGTGAACAAGATTTTACTTCTCTCATTATGTCTTATGGCTTTAAAGTATAAATTAGCTAATTTTCTGTGTATGAGATGTTTATCTGCTTATTTGCCTGAGCAGAGTAGGAAGTAGGAAATAGGATTTTGCTGGCAGTGCTGGGAACAACTGTCTCTAAATTGTAAAGGCTATTCATTCCTTTGATCCATCTCAGCCTCCTGTGATTTGTCATAAAGACATTTCCACCTCATCCCTTAGGATATTAAGCATGTGTAAATATCTTTCTGAGGCCCAAGGACTGCTAAAAGGGTCTCCCCAAACAAGAGTCAATTACCTTTGGACCCCTTTGGACCCAAAGCTCCCGGCAGCCCTCTTTGTCCAGGCTCCCCTGGGGCCCCAGTTCTTCCATCCAGGATTGTGTCTGGGGGGAAGGAAGGGCCTATAAGCAGAAAGGAGGTAAGCAAAAGCCATAAGAAGGCTAGATTTCCAGCTCATTAATTACTTACAATGTTAGTTATGCAACTGACAGAAATGGCACCAGATCAATCTGCAACTGTGGAAGTTACACAAGGAGATGGAACTTGGTTGGTATCACAGGCTGCAGTCCTCTGCCATATGTTTGCTTCTAGCTTCTCATACAGAAAAGCAAAAGCTCTCATAATGTGGATGCAACAGTGTTTCATTCCTTTACTGCTCTACCATTGCACTGTTTCAAAGGTTTAATAGTTGACCAAAGAACTAACTAAACTGTGAACAGGTTGTACAAAGAAAGGCAAATGGCTTAGTTCATGGCAGATGTGCCTTTACAGCTCTGGGAGAAGCTGAGACTCATATCGATAGAAGATGAAGAGACAAATCAATGTATTGGTGATTGTGATGACTGGCTATTGCCCTTTTTGTTGGCACAGAAGCCATCACCCACAAGCAGTGTTTCTGCTGCTGCTGGCATGGTAGAGTCACCTCCAGGGCTACCTGCCTTCTGCGGAGCTCCTCAACTTCTCATTAAGTTACTGCAGCTCAGGAAAGAGACTAAATGGCTAAAAAGTTAAGGGTACTTTCCGTGTCCCTCACTTTATAACTGCAGGATTATTTTCTACCTCTCTTTATATGCTGAATAGAATAAAACATGAGCTGAGAGAAACAGCAGTGAAAGGTGATCTGACATAATCTAAAACCACTGTGTCTGAAAACCCTTCCCCTCAGTGACAACAGTAAGACGGAGTGCTGACCAGCACCAGTCTGATGTTCCATGGAAATAAACTGCAACCATCAGCTAAAAACAGCTACAAGAGCTTTACAGACTCTGCAGAAAAATGAGCCAGATTTGACTAGCAAACAGTTCTTGATAAGAGAGCTCTTATTTCTTCTCCACAGAAAATCATTTCATCAGGCCATGCTCATTGGCTCCATCACTGGAGTGTGCCCTGTTTGAAAGGTTGGCTCTCAAAAATGAAACAGGCCGTTTGAACTCAGTTTATGGCATAATAGTAAAACACAAAGTTTGTGTAAAATCCACCCTTTTCATGTAATACTCAGTTTCTGAGGAAAACAAAACAATGCATAATTAATCCAATCAGGGCATCCATACAAATGAACATGTGAAAATGAAATCACATTTCCTTAGGTCTGAAAGCTGTGTCTTCAGGCATCCTGTCTGACTCCTGGTACCCAAAACACCTACTCACAAGACCAGACATTTACCCCAGGTACTCATGAGGCCATGGTCTATTCTTTATCTAAGCCAGGAGGAGACTAGAGTGGATAGAACTTCAAAGTCCTCTGTGTCATAAATTGTGTTTACACAACCTTGTGCTTCAGTCTTTCAGGCTACCACTCTAACAATAATTAGCTGTATTTTCTTTCTTCAGTGGTAGCTGCTGATACATATATTTAAGGTTGTGAGATACAATCACAATGAGGTGTCAATCAAACATGTAAGGTTTACAGATGAATAATCCTCAGTGACAAAGAAATAAATATATAAATGATTATTTGTCTTGTTTCACTCTGAATTCAATATAAAAAATAAAAATTAAAAATATACATACGTGTGGAACCAGGCAATCCTGGTGCTCCTGGCAGACCAGGTAAACCACTTCTGCCAGGAGTGCCTGGTAATCCAATCGTTGCTCTTCCTGGTTCTCCCACTTCACCCTTCACACCTGGAATACCTGGAGACCCTCCAGGGCCCATTCCGTCTAGACAACAATGACACAATGAGCAGCTCTCCAGCAGCAAACACATTCTAGTATTTTTAATGTTCTGAAAATTACGGTCTGCCCTGAACTGTGACCATGTTAGCCCAGAACAATTTATAATTGCACACAAAGGAAAAGTTCCTAATCGGAGGCACCAACTGGTTCCCATTTACGCACTCTGTAGGTCATCCAAAAAACTTCACAGGGCTGCATTTAAATCCCACTGATCAGTTAGACAATTAACTATGTAAGACTGTGGTTTATTGATTTTTTTGTTTCCTTTGAGTGAGATAATTTCTTTAGTAGTTCCCAGTCTCTGGATCATTGCAGGCCAGGACTTCATAAGTGGCATTCAAGTGAAACAGAAACTTTCGAGTGAGATCTTTGATGAGACAAATGGGTTTCACCTACAGTGGGTTTATCTAGCCAATCTGTTGCCCTCTTTTGCAAATATTTAAAGTCATTAAAAAAATAATTTTCAAAAACATTTGCTATTATTTAAAATGTAGGAACTGTTCTGCCAATCAACTAATTCAAAATGGAAATCAAACAACCAACCTCCTGTGTACACTGCTACACCAAATATTCAGACCTGAAGACCTGCCTGGCCTGTAATTATTGTGAGACTAATTCTGCTCCCATCCAAGTCAACAACAGTTGGTTTCCCTGTGTGTCATCCCTGCCTCCTATGTCTCATACAGCAGTCTGCAAATCAGCCACCTGAAGGAGCAAGGAGAGGCTTGCTCCAACAATACCTTCACCATCTCCATGCCCCTACCCAGAGTCTTCTCGGTAACAAACACAGAAAACAGCCCACTAAGGGCACTGTTAGCAGCTGCTTTACCTCTCTTCAGGCCTGGAAATCCTGGAGCTCCTGGAAGACCTGGTAAACCACTGATCCCTTCATCTCCTGGAGGGCCAGGTATTCCTGGATTTCCAGGGTCACCTGGGGCACCTATTAGATAAATACAGAAAAACAAGGAGGAAAATCTCATGAGAATTTCTGCTGAAAGACTCTGCTCAGTCAACTACCCCAGTGGCCACTGATCTCATTGACAGCAAAGGTTGCAAAGCCGTTGGCAGTAAGCCTGTCAGTCAAAGTTAACAATAATGGGAAAAATTCCTCCTGATCTGTTAGAGGTCGTTTCAAACTTGACTGCATGTGAAGGAGGAAGAATAGGAGAGATTTGTCCCCTTACCTTTATAGCTTCAGAGACTGTTCCCATCCAGGCCTCATTCAGCTGTGGCGTTAATCAAGCTCATTTTCTCAACAATATTCTTACCACATTGAACAACAAATAATAGCAGAATGGCATTCAAAGTATTCATTTCCATGCAACACAAGGAAGGTGTTTTTCCTTAGTACACTGAAGAAAGACACACAGGTAGACACACAGCAGTTCCCTGCGCCCACACACAGTCAGCCTCCCAGGCACTAAATTTCATTCTGCCTTGAAACATATCATTCTGCAACATGGGGATGAAAGGTTTATTGTAAACTCTGAAGTTATAAACATGGGACCAAACGTATTCGTATGCCAACAATACAGAAATTAAAGGAAAAATAACAAGGGATGGGTTAGACCCAATACACAATGTGGAAAAGTGGTAAAATATAGCAAGAAGGAAAGTTAGTTCAGAAAAAGTGCTTTAGATGAGTTCCAAAACAAAATGGAAACGTGTACCTGAAATGACTACACCTTCCCTGTCAATAACAATAGGAGGGCCTGGGGGACCGATGTCACCTAATTCACCCTGTAGAAGAAAACAGATTCACGCCACATTCACATGGGTGATGGAGGGGAAGACTGCTTGTCAGGAAACAGACTGTATTATGGTAGCAACATCTGTGGTCTTTCACTGACTAACCATCATTCTTTGTCTTGGTGAAGAATTCACTTTGTTCTTCTGCTATTCACAATCATCTGCTGTCCTGACTTACCTACTTCCTGCCTGAGAAAACTGATGGCTGCTTCAGGTATAGTGTTTGCTACTATCCAGCTATCCTCTGAAGGCATCCTGCTACCTCAATAGGAAGCACGGACATGTGTATACCACATGTACTGGAGACCAGTTATCATATCAGCATATCGAACAATATCAGGTAGATCATAGTTGTTCACCTTGTGGTAAAAGCGAGAGAGCTGCTCTAACATACCTATTTTTAAAAGCATTCATCACTGCAGCTATCTGTTGCCTTGGAATCCTGAATTTCACTAATAGCAGCTTCCAGGAAAATGGATTCCTCCATAAAATCACCCAGGTAAAACAAGCAAGTTGTGACAAACTGCAGTATCATTCCTTCTTCTCATTCTAACACAGTACCAAATCCTCTTTGAAACAGCAAGTGCAAAATCTGACTGTTGTCCAAATTTACATCGTATTTATAATACAAACACCATACAGTGATCCGAGGCAGTGCACACTTTGTTGCTTCTTCCAGTAATACTCTGTGCATAAACCTGTACTACTACTTCTTCCATGTGCTCTGCACAAAAAAGCCTTTCAGTACTTGCATTTCATGTGTCTGTCAACCATACACCACTCTTGGTGGCAGATAAGTGTTTTTCACAGGAAACTACTATGCAACCATTTTCCACTCAGTTTCCAGATGTCCGACTGCCCAAGTTGTGAGACACCCAGAAAATGTCTGCTATGCGTTGCATATCTTCAGTACGAGAAATTGAACGTACTCTTTTCAGGCTTGTCAATACTTGTAGATCTGTGATCTAAGACTTCAGATAGCCTTGGCAACTAATCTTAACATCCACTTACTTCCATCTAATCTCGCCTCAATTGTCCAGTAAATATGGCATTGGTGTAAGGATAAAGGAGACCAGAGAGACTACACTTACAATTATAAGTCATGAAGTTACATGAATGAATATTGTAAAGGTATTAAAATATTCGAGTGTTCATCGTTCAGCAACCATTCATTTTTACCCTTAACAATAAAGTAAATGAGGAACTGAAACATACTGAAGATTACAATGACACAGAGGTAAAGAAGAGATTTAATTGGGGCAATGACACTTATTTATTCGTGCAAATATCTTTAAAAAAGCAATGCTTTAGTATTTTCATGTGAGAAGTTACCTTCATGCCTTGGACTCCATCCAGTCCTGAATAGCCTGGAACACCTGGATGACCCTACAAAGTCACACAGGGGAACATTATTATACAGTGAGACAATAAGACAGTGGCATTATTTGTTAGCTGAGACATCTGCAGTGCCTGGACTTGAACCACAAACCCAATTCATTGTCCTGCCAAACATCTCCAGAAGAAACAAAGAAAGAGAAAACTGATGGCATCAATTTCTCAGCACTCACAAAATACCAGAGCTGCTTTAGGCCTCCTTGTGCTGCAAAGATAGTGAGAACTTGTGAGCAGGCATGAAGGTGTCCAAATCAGGAGGACACCTTGGAGTTCTCACAGAACTGTAGAAATGCTTGTGGAGTGGAGTCTAGAATATTATTTTCCTTGTCCCCCACACTTTCCTCTCCACTCTGTTCCCCCTCCAACAAATTATTGGCACCAAAACATTTAAAGTGCCACTGGAAGATCCATCTCTCCATCTCTCCATTTCCTGGTAGCATTCTCAGGGACACCAAAATTCCCCTTCCAGGTGTGTGACTGGAAATCTGTTGGGTAACTGTTCTCTGTTGGGTAACATTCAACCTGGCCCGGTATGGATTGCAAATCGCACTGCCACTGCAGACAAAATGGGACGTTGCAAGAGCTAAGGAGCAGGGAACCTTAAGTTTAAATCTTGCCTGTGATTCTGAGGTCTTGGGACAGCTGTAGGCCCCAATATAGCCCATACACAGTATTGCAGTATTGTTGAGAAACTTGTCATATAGATATGAATTAGACTATACTGGACATATCATCACCTTCAGTATATCTTGAAAAGGACATATATAAAACAAAATATACAAGAAAGTGACTGAATTCCAGGCTGCAAAACTAAAATTTTATTTCTGAAAGTTGCTTTCTTGAACAACTTCCATTGGTGTATCTGCAAGTGAAAGTGCTTTAACATGTTTTCAGCCACTTGATCACCTGGCCATTTCCACCCCCAAAAGGGGAAAAGTGGGAGAGTTGATTGTTCCAGGAGGGAATGTACAATTTTCAATCTGTGGAGGTGGTTCTCTGAATACATAGGGATAACTAGAGAGACAGTTAAAGGGATCTAGAGTTTCACGTAGACTTTCTAGTTAGCTCTCACTAGTTTAATAAGGCAGGTGCATTCATCCATCAGAGATCTGAGAGCCACTAGATACAGAAGTCAGTACATCTTAAGCAGTTAGATGGCTTCTGTAATTGTAAGTACAGTAAAAAATAAAATAAATTTCACCTTTCTCCCTGGAATCCCATCAGATCCATCCAGTCCCAAAAGGCCCTAGAACAGCAAAAAAAAACGTTTACTTTCAGAGGCTCCATCTCAGTCTGGTCTTATATCAGGCTCCAAATATTCCAGCACCGAAGAACAAAAAGGTAAAACTTTCAAAAGGAGAAGCTACCACTGATTTTCTGTATCTCCCAAATAGTAACAATCATAATTGAAAGAATTCAGCAGAATATGATAAAATAATTATTATCTTCTTTAGCCATTGTCTTTCTAATTGGCGGTTCAAGTTAAATAAGTCATGGTGTCTCAACTTACTAGGAAGTTAGGTAGGTAGTTTGTAATTATAACACCATGAAACTTAATGCAATCAAGACTTTCCATCTTGACAATTTATTCTGCACATGTAGAACAGAATGCTTTGGTCTTCCTGTTGTGTATAAGCATGTCTCCGCAAGGTCATGGTGGTTTGAAGAATCTATGGTTGGCATATGAGTGAGCATGCTGTTAACTCCTACATTCATTGACTACTTAGACCAGCATCTGTTGCTAGCTTGCCCATTTCATCCCCAAATATCTATCGATGTTCTCTCACGGCTGGTTCTGGCACTGGTTAAAAGCTCCCTAAAGCCCCTGCAAGGCCTCTTTATTATCTTCATTTGGACCTCCTGCAAGCTTCCTTTTCTGTGAAGTTTTCAAAAAAACTGGAAAAACACAGGCTCTGCAGTATCAAGACTTCCACTAAATACTTCCATATGATTTTCTCAGACTGCTTTGTCTGTACATATCTTTCATCTCACCTTTAATCTGACACTTTACTGAGATAAGAACTATCTGTTGGTTCTGTTGTTGTATGGCACTGGCTACTATGGGACCCAGTCCTGTGTCTGAGACTCCTACATCTTTTGGGAATGCTTCTGTTGATGAAAGGCCCACTTCATGTGTTTGAGAACAGGCGTTTAAGGACATTGTAAAGTTACCTACCCGGCCACCCGGTAAGCCAGGCACACCTTTTTCTCCTTTTTCTCCAACACCTCCAAAGCCCTGAGGAAAAATGTCCGTATTAAATCTGTGATACATTTGAAATTGAACAGCCCTAAGACAAATTTACATAAACCCATCTATTAGTATAAACAGCACAACAAAGAGACAAGGGGAACTGACTGTTTCTGCTGGGACTCTTTCAACCCAGAAAGAAAACCTGTATCAGACTTGGCAGTACGTGCAATACATTATCTTCTTCATTCCCCATGACTTCCACCCATTTCAACCATGGCACATCTCTCAGTTGCAAATGCAAGTAACCCCATACTATAAACAGCAAAGTCCTGCCACTGCTATTCTGTATTGTATTCTATTCTACATTTAGAAATTTTTCAAATCTCATTTCTTAACAGTAGCAGCTCAAGGGAGTGCTTAGAGCACTCTTTTTGATTTCTAAAGCCTAAGAAGGACACAAAACTAGCATTTTCATGCTCAATATTTGGGAATGTTTGGTAGTTTTCCCAGTCAGTAAGAAGTATCAAATCCAGATATAGAACACCAGGATTTAATTTCAGCAAGAGTTACAGTAGTTAAGCAATTTTCAGGCTTCAATCTTGAAATATCTTATGGTTGTGGTTAAATTCACACATGTGTTCAACCCAACCAGCTTCAATGGGCCTCTTGTGATGCATAAAGCTAAATATGCACATAATGGAACATGTCCAGAAAGGCTAATAACAAACTGTGCTTCATGTACAGGTTTTTCTTGCACGTCTTTCTGCTAAGAACATCTGTACATTCAAGAAACTGGCAAACAATTTATCTTATTAGTCAGAAGTTCCACAAAATATTTATTCCTTAAACTTATCGAAATGACCTGTGTTTACAAAAGGTTATAAGCCAGGAAAATAGCTTTCTGGAATCCAGGGATAAATTGTTGTTCTTGATTCATACATAGAAGATGCTACACATCCCTGAGTTTATGAGCGCTAATGTTAAACGGCCTGTTTAAAACTGGATATATACAGACAGACAGAAAGATCTGCATGTGCTTTACAACTTTAAAGTAAAATAACAAAAATATGTTTAGACGTAACTAAAAGAAAAAAAAAATGTATTTTTTAAAAAATATGTCCAGCTCTCTGTGGGACCTCAAGAAACACTGCCATCAAGCGGCCACGTAAAGGGTATGTCTACTTGCAGGTCTCTGCAAACTGCAGACAACATGTCCCAAAATGATGTCTGCTTTGAAACGTCTGTAGCAGGACAGCATGATCTTCTTTGTATCTCCAGGGCAAAAAAATATAAGATCACAGCTACACTCTTCAAAAGGTCTTGTGGACATTTTAACCTGTTTTTTAAAGTAGTCTGGTGCCTAGAAACTACCGTAGAGACCTTGTGAGCTCTTCAGAGTGTTGAACCATCTAACCCACACTAGGCACATATTAAAAACTCTCCTCTGTCCTTACCGGCATGCCAGGCAATCCTTTGTCTCCAGGGTGTCCTTGAGGGCCTGGCTCGCCCTGACAAGGACAAAAAATCACTGTGTCTGTGAATGCAGCTTTCCCCAATCCACCCACCATGCTCCTGACTCCTAAAGTAAGGCCTTGCAATTTGTTTGTCAGCAAGTATACTTGGTTTGTATCATCATGTGCCAGATACAGTGTCTCTCAGCACAGTGCTGGTGCATGCAACAGATTGTCTGTGACCACTTCCCATGGCTTCAAAGACCACTACTTGGGAACTGTTGTTCTACTGTCCTCCACTGCTAGAAGTCAAACTAGAAGCATTTCATATCGTCATCTAGGGAACTGGAACATGCACTGTACTTCACGGAAAACAGCAAAATAACACATGATGAGATAGCATAATGTCTTCACAATCCTGAGCCAAAAGGAACGGCATTTGTTTGAATCTCACCTGGCGCTAATGTAACTCCACCAAGTAAGACAGTATCTCTCACAACTTACGCAGGGGCTCAGGCAAGCTCAGACTGGGCTCCCAAACCAGCCTGTATAGGTCCCAGATTAATTCAATATGCCTAAATTTCATGCGTGAAGAGAATCTTTAACTCAAGATCCATACAGCTTCTATAAAAACACTGATGAGCTAAATATGCATCTCAGTAAATGCCAAGATAACAAAGTAAAGGAGAAAAATCTGATTATTTCAGAGCAGTGTGCATCATAGCCAAAGGAAAAGAGCTGGAGCTTTTTATTTATTTTTCTAAACGGATTTGGATTTTTTGCTTCAGTTGACACAATTTCACAGGTCCAACAGAAACAAACTATAGTTCATTTATGTTTAGGACTAATGATGAAAACTTGAAAATAGCTTTCGGATTTCTCCTTGTGAGAGGTATGCATTCTCCAGTGGTCCACAATGCTCTAAGCTAAGAATATTTTTATTCAATAGTCCTCTGGCAGATTAAAGCAGTACAGAAAATTATTTCGATTTGGAAATATAACAGCCCTCACTGTCCAGTAATTTCATTCAGCCTTGAATGAAGTAGCATGGGGAGGGGCAGAGTTTGTAAACTGAATTTACAGACCTTTTCTCCTTGCTTCCCTTTTGGAAATCCCATGAATTCCAGTATTCCAGTGGATGGTGGGGGACCTGGAGGGCCAGGCAGCCCTACATCGCCCTGTTGGTAAAAGAGGAATCTATTAACATAGGCAGAACATGTTTGATTTCCTTTGAAAGTGACTTGCAAATCAGAAAAAAGCCACTTTAATTATATCCCATGTACATAATATCTGTATGCCAGAATGCTGGCACAGGAGTTTGGTCATGGAAGTCAAAAGATCAGGCTGAAAATTAAGATGAACAAAATGCATTAAATCTGTTTCAGAAGAGTTGTGGATATAAAACACGGCAAGGAAAAAAAAAAAAGGCTCAGATTTTGAATCAACAGGAAAATAGTCCAGAAAAACTTTGGGGAGAAATATGAAAGAAAAGAAGACAAGAAACAATTAGAAATGTAGAACACTGAGAACTGATTTTAACAGCCACAGAATCAAGTCTCAAATTAAGAACTTTGAGAAGCTCCATTATACCACTGTCAATCCTCACACAGACTGCAGGACACCCACTTAGGATAGTGAGACTATAAATTAGACATTGGTGGACCCAAAGAATATTATGAAAGCCCAAAAGAATCAGGTCAGTAGAATAATTCAATACAAGAGGTGAGGTTCCAAAGAAACTGAAAGACAGAGATTGAAAAGATGTCTAAGGACCTCATGTCTTGATAACCATGAAAATACTGCGCTGAATTGAGATTTTCCCTTTCCCTTTCTTCATCCAGAAAAAGCTCCCATCCTTTTTTTTGTGCACCAACAGATAAGGAACAAGCAAGACTCTTCAGTATTTGGACTGTCCATCAGTCCAAGAGAAGAAAAGAAAAAGGAAAATAAGAAAATGCTGGAATCTAGCCACTTTCTAGAGGATCAAGCTATGATGGAACACTAGAGTTTATTTCATGCTCTTTCCATAATAGATCAAGTTTCACCTACCTTTTCTCCTTTCTCTCCTTGAAAGCCTAATCCCATGTTACCCTAGAAGAGGAAAAAAATCAATGATGAATGAATAATAAGACAGCAGCAAAAACAGCATCACTATCATCTAGGCCCACAGCACTGTTAAAAAAGCCAACAATCAAGCATAGACAGAAGACAGGAAAGGTAGGTACTTACTTTTGGACCTGGTGGCCCAGGGGGACCCATCGGACCCTAAATGCGAACAAGATCAAGATTTTATTTCTTTTGACTTAATTAGGATGCACAGAATTGGAGCAATGCTGGGATCTGCAGTGGTACCTGAACTTTTATCTCTTGCCCCCAAAGCAAAAGTAACTGATACACATGATCTTCAGGTCTTCACATCTATAATGGACAGCATAGCCCTTTGGTACTGCGATTAATTAAAAGCAAACTTCAATTTAAAACCAACAAGCACGTTGTTTGTTTTTACCTCTGCCCAATGGAAACTCTCTTGCAGTATCTTGAAAAAGCAACTCTTTAGCATATTTCATGAGGGCAAAGGCTCCAAACGTGCAGAGGTCAGCATATTCCCTCTAGTCCCAAGATGAGGAAGTGCTCAGAACAGTATGATATGGTGTTTGTAGACAGCACCCTAGGGCTTTGCTGGAGCCCTCATTCACAACTGCTACTCTGAACACTGCTCCAGAGAGGAGCCTTCCCTCTTGTGATTAGATTATCTAAATTCAAGTATTCTATGCTTGAAGTCAGCTGTGCTCAGTTCTTTTCTGTGCACACACACTTTTGCTCATTGTCATGACACAAATACAGACAATGAGGGAAGACTGCCAACATTTTGAACTGTTCTATCAACAAGTGAAACAGTTGAGGTCTCTCACCTGCAAACCTGGTAATCCTATAGGGCCTGCAGAACCTATTGGACCTGGAAAACCTTTTGGGCCCTATAAGAAGAACATAGGACAAATACAGAATGTGTAGCGCTCACCCCATCAAACCCCAACCAAAGACAAAGTGAGTCTCAGGAAGCATTAAGTAATATACCCTAATTAAGTACACCAATTTAAATACTATAACAATCTGTTTCATATTATTAGATGTATTTTGAAAATCAAAGTTACAGAGTTTAATGGAAGAAGGGAGTTTGATTTGAAAAAGGAAAAATGGAACAGATCACAGCAAAAATCTGACTTCCTCTACCATAATGTGGATCCATTCATACCGTTACAAAGCTGGAATTGCTCATGCTATGGGTATCACACATGTGAATACATGCCCCACTAATTTGAAAAGCATCCTGGAGAACCAACACAAGAAAAATTACCTACTTAATATTCTCTAAAATTATTATTCCCCAAATTAAATAACTTACAGAAATTCCATCCAATCCAGGAAGACCATTTTCTCCCTAAAAATCATAAATGCATGAGTAAAAAATTACGCCATGTTATTGCAACAAATCCTAAGGAACATTAAGTTTCGTATAAATAGAAGTATTTGCTGTTAGTTAATATTAGATTAAGTGTAAATGGGAAAATGTTTTGGCACCTATGCTTCCATATTTAAACTGGGTAACGGAGAGATTCCAAAACTCTGGAGAAATTACAACCATTTTATTTATGGGTAAAAAGAGAAAAATAAAGTGGCATGAAAAAAGAATTATATTAATTGTAAAAACACTGGAAAATACACTATAAAAATTTTCATTACAACACCACTATAAAATATGTAAAAGCTTATAATTATATCAAATTATCTGTATTTCCCGTAAATATCGAAGTAAATAAGTAAAGATCTATTTAACTTTTACCAACTTATGAGTGTACATAATGTGGGTAGAATTTTAGAAAAATTCTTTATTTTGACCAACAAAGTCAGGGTGAGGGGTCTTACATGACAGAATACATTTCTTAATATTTTCTATACTTAATGAAGCATAAGGCTGCTAAATATTGCTGAATTCAGTACCACAACAGGTACCGAACCCTTTGTAGATTTATTCCAAACCTAATACTTCTGGCAAAAATTAAAACCACGGTAAGCTGGTGAGTGCTCGTTTCAAGGCAACAAACAACCAAATCTCTTACATGAGCACATTCAAGAATCTATTCACTATTCTGAACAATAAACTGAAACTGTCTATCCATAGTTTGTATCTTCTGTACAGGAAAAAAAATTACAGACTTGATACAGACATTTCAGGGTGAGGTCCCTATTAAATAGAGAGAGTAAAATCCTGACTTCACAGTGACAAAGGATGGAATACTATGAGTGGGATATGATATTCATGTATTTAAATGACTGATTACTTACTAGTACGTCCCAGTACAAAAAAACACTGGGAGGCAGCTGGGATCTCACAACCCAAATCTTAACATGCACTTGCGAGTTTCCTGAGCTGTTATTTCAACAGACCTGGCACATGCAAAGAGGTCAGTCACAGGAAAATTCAGAGTGTAGGTGAAAGGTCTGTCCTTTGCTACATCTGCCTCTAGAAAGACATGTGCTACCCCACGTAAGTCAGGATAAGCTTACAAGAAATTCCTCACATCGATGGTTTGACACCACAAACGAATGGTGCTACCTCCCCAGAGACAAGAGAAGGACCAGCAACTACACTGACCAGTAACGCGATGAGCAATGTCCCAGCATCCCAGTATGGGATGAACAAGATCTCTGCAAAGACAAAGCAATTCCAGGCTCTGAGAGTATTCCGCATTGTCATTAATGAAGTTATTGTAATGCCTTTTTCACAGCTCTGCATTCAGACATACGCAGGACGCACACGTCTAACATCACGAGCAATCGAACCTGCAGAATCAGCCCTGCAACCTGTAGGACATCAAAGTGTTTCTTGTACTGCATTTTCTCCTATGTGAAGACAAGTCTTACCTTCATTCCTTTAAGACTGCCTTGAGCAAAAACAGGTTCTCCTTTAAGGCCTTTTGGGCCAGGATGACCCTGATTAAAAAAAAAAACAAACAAAAAAAAGCCAAAAATAAATTTCTGGAAAAAATACTGATTGAGTTTCGAAAGAATTGAAAGAACTTATATTCAGCTTAATGAACAAGGCAAACTCCTGGCTCCAGTAAACTGCAAAAGTACCTCTGCAGCTTTGTCAAGAAGCTGTGGTATTATGACATCTTAAGACTTCCTGCGGCTCTAGAAAAACAAGGTTCTGCAAACATTTTCTCTGGAATTTTCCTGTTTATATTAGATTTCCCTTTTATTTTAGGCCTTCAACAGCTATTAAGATCCTATTTGAATCTGTTTGACATGGTGTAACCCTCCTCTTCATATACATATCAATGTCACCCAGAGGGACCTTGACACGTGACAGAGGTGGGCCTATGCGAACCTCATGAAGTTCAACAAGGCCAAGTGCAAGGTCCTGCATCTGAGTTAGGGCAATCCCAGACATAGATTCAGGCTGAGCGATGAGTGGATTGAGAGCAGCTCTTAGGAGAAGGACTTGGGGGTACTGGTGGGTGAAAAACTGAATATGAGCTGTCAACATGCACTCATAGCCTAGAAAGCCAACCGTATCCTGGGCTGCATCACAAGCAGCGTGACCAGCAGGTTGAGGGAGGGGATTCTTCCCCTCTACTCCACCCTGGTGAGACCCCAACTCAGTGTGGGAGCGTACTGAATTCACAGGAATTTCATTTTATCCTCAGAGTGTAATTTCAATAGAGAATGATACTAAGCTCTAACAATACTAACTTACTTAGGATTATTAGGGCTCTTCCTAAGTAATTTATAGTTACTTTTCCAACAATGACATGAAAAACAAATCCTGGCTTAGTGACTACCAAATATCATATTCAAGTTGGGACATACAGGCAGCCCAGGTAGTCCAGGAAATCCATCTGATCCAGAAACGCCAGGACTCCCAGTGGTACCATTGCAGCCATCAAGGCCAGGCAGACCTCTAGGTCCAGATTGCCCAGGGTGACCCTGTGTAAACGGGAAAAAGAAAGAATGACTGACAGGATGCATTATTTTATTAGTAATAATGTCCCCAGAAAACTGATATCTTCCAAATGGTAACACAAAACAAAAGAAACGCACAACTCCCACTCAAGTTCAGTGTACAGCAGACTGCAACAGAACTAGCTGCTTTGGCCAGCATTGTTTATCCTCCCCAAAGCTTAAATCCTAGAACATTGGCTGCATTCATTTCATTACCTTTTTTTCCAAGGGATAATTTTCTGAAGTGCATAACTTGTGCATGAGTAGGTCCCAAAAGGGCAATACTCATCCCACAGCAGTCTGAAATATATGGCATATAACACTGCAAAACAGCACGCAAGGGTGCACCTGACACCAGGAATGGAAGTTGCTCGTGTGAAACCAAGGGTTGAGGCAGACTCAACAATACTCAGCATTTATAATTCCAATCTGATTAAAGTTTCAGTGACTTCTCTTCCTCTCCAGTGTGGATTCTTTCTTTTAATAGTTCAACAGATGTTACAGCTCCAGCATCAGGCCATTCAAGCAAAACAGCTTTTCTTGTTGTATTAAACTTAAAACCTTAGGCAAAGCAACTGGGAGAAAGACCTAATTAAACTAACAGCATTTAAAAGAAACTATTTGCAATGGCCAATTATTAATCAAGCAGAGTAGAATACAATTGTACCTAATTCTGCCTTCACACCTCTTTTGCCCTGGTATAGCTCTATTAATTTGACTGGAGTTTACTCAGCATGGTACTGGTGCAAAGGAGATCAAAGTATGAGACTTCAGTTACTTTTTCTTCAGTGTCATATGGGTATGTGTAGGCAAAACACAGGAAGGTTGAACACAGTCACACTACCCAGGTTTCAAGCAGCTCTTTATTTTATCCTCCTTTTCTCAGAAATGAGTTCTGTGGCACTCAAAGACAGTGTTTTGTGGCAGGATGAAAATTGAAACTTATGGAGATAGTATCAGTAACTGACAGTTCTCTCCCTCCTCTCTGTACACCCCGATCTTGACTCATCCCGAAAGTACTTTTGTTTGATCCCAAAGATTCATCCTTAAGATACGGCATTAAACAAGTTATGAGTCACACTAGGAAAGTAAGAAAATAAACATGGATAAAATGGAGATAAAGCAGAACATTAACAATCCTTCATGCCTGACACTTAAAACAAAACACATTTGTGTTGCTAAAGGTCTCCCCAGTCCAAGCCAATAGCATATGCTCTGACCAAACTCAATAAGAACTTCGCAGTAACGTAAAGCCTTTTATCTAAGGATCTCAAAATGCCTTGCAAAAATGTGGGAATGCTATAATCTTCATTTTACGGATGAGAAGCTGGGGGCACACAGTAGCAGAGTGACTTTCCCGAGGACGCAGAGCAACTTAGGCCATAATTACGTAAATGCTCAAGCTGATCGCTGGTCTCAGCTGCTGCCAGGAGAGCCATCGCACACTCCTGCTTACTCGCACCTACCTCTTCCCTGTGCTGGCATAAGCACAGGCAGAATACGTGAGTCAGAGCAGGAACCCAACACAGCAGAGAAATAACTGTTCGGTTTCTTAATGGGGTTAATTTTCAGCTAGATGAGTTCCTTGGTCCAGCTCATTTGGCAACTGCATTGCGATTTGTGCCAACAAAACAGAGAGAAGGGGACAGAGCCCAGATCAGCATAGGGTGCAAACTGCATGTAAAGTGTGTCTCCACTACACGATCAAGGCAGCTCACTCAGACAAGTATAAATTTGAGATTAAACAAGGCCTCAGGACATGGAATGAAGTCATCTCAAAGCATTAGCATCGGGCACCACTGCATACGTACTACCCGTTGCTCAGATGATTAAAGTCTGTTTGTCAAAACACCCACACGCGGTGTGCAAGCAGGGACTTGCCAGGCCTTGGTAAAGTGACAGGAGAAGGCTGAAGCACCAATTTATTGCCATTTATGTTTGCCTCTTAGAAATTATTTCATTTGGTTCCCAAAGCTGGAACAAATCAGTGGCAACCCATCCTCCTCTATCCATGCATGATGTCGTAGCCAAGGGCATCAAGTCTCTGACAGAACAGGCTCTGACAGCAGAGGGAGGGCAGAGTGGTCAACATCTACCAGGTCTTTCACTTTGTTTACAGCATCAACAAAACCAGAAGCTATGTGGGACAAGCGGACGTGTATCTGGTTACAACATAAGGTGACCAGCTGCAGGGTTTAGTGAAGCTGAACAGCCAACATCTGCCCCTCAGAGCTAGGCAGCCGGGAGCCAAGCTGCTAAGCCTTTAGTGCTGGCCAAGAGCCAGCCCCTGGCAGGCAGCTGACAGGCAGCCTCATGTCCTGGGAAACACTTTGGGTGAGATCTCCTAACTCTTGGACCAACACGGTCTGTAAGTAGCCCAAAGGATTCTGGTATCCTTTTAATATGTGAGAAGGGCTCACAAAGAGAGGACATAAAGTATGCTGACCACAGTGATTTCTTATGTGTATTAAATAAATCTATGGTCCTGTCACTTAACCCCATGGCATCCATGTCTGTGGTTCTGAGCCAACGCATGACATGGACTGACACACATGCACACATGTACACATGCTGTCTCTTTTGCTTTAGGAAAAAAATCCACAGGATTTCCTACTTTCTAGCTAATCTGCTATCAGAGTTCACAATGTTTTGTTTTAAGAACCTTACCTGAGGAGATACTGAGCACCCACAACCGACTTCCTTGAGAGCTGCAAAGTTCTGGCTTAAGCGAACCTTTTCCCCAGGGATTTAAAATACTGATTTAAAGAGCTGTTTTGACTTGAAAAATGGTGATTAATAGTTTCACTGCTCTCACCTCCTCTAATTCCTGTTTTGGCAGATGAGCCAATTCAGCACAAGAATCTCAATTGTCTAAGGCAGAAGATTTTTACAGGCTTTACTTATAGATGGCAGGGTGACTAGTTTACAGACCTGAGTTAAAACATAGGTTGGAGAGATCACTTGTGCTCTCTGTTCTTACAAAAGAAGACATTCCCTGTGAAATACATAAGGAAACTTGAACTGTTCATCTAGGCCCTTGCTTTATCTGACTCTTGCTTGTACACTAACACTGTGATCCCAAGGGGCCTCTTTTCTAAATCAAACAGCACAAAGGCGATCCCAACAGAAGAGCTCAACAAATATTTAAAAACAAGGAAACAAATGCAATTAAGAGTGAACACAAAACTAATGAATAAGCAGTTTCATGGATTGCTACAGCAAAATAACCTTTTTATAGCCATCGCAAAGTGCTTGTGTTTCCTTCAGGAGGGTCACAAAACAGACAACTTTGCCTTTCCATGTAGCTCTAGCATTCATGGTACAGACAAGGGCTCACTTCTCATAGAAATATTTCCCTCTAGAACTCCTTGGACAGTTCATGAAAAGCTATATACATCTTCCAGCTCCAGTTCCAGTCTGCCAGAGGTGTCCTTGAATCTCGTCCGATGGGAAAAAATAAACTTCCCGAGTAGGGCTAAGGATTTGAGGGTTTCTTCTACAGTGTGACACGAAAGGCTACCAATAAACACATGTAGCTGCTGTATTTACTAGGTTAAAGGGATTAGTCAGGCCAGCTGCAACAACATGATTTCCTTGTCACCAGCATTCCCTAAGGGAACTCTGTGGAACACCACTTCCCTTAAGGTCAATAGTGGGATTCCCCTCTGAACCACAACCTTGCAGTTCTTTGACCATGACTAAAAAAATACCTGCCCATGCTAACATATCTGCATACAACAAAGAATCTCCCTTCATATTTCGATGTTAATTCTTGGGCAGAGATAGCAACATACTTTTACTTCTCTCTTACATGTATCAGCACAGACACGCTCTCTCTCCTTTGCTCTGCATTTCACACATCCACATAATGTGCATAAGTTTGTATACATTTCACAACAAACCTAAGCTACTCCCTCTCCTGATATGCAACTGGCAAAAGTATAAATACTTTGTCAAGACATAATGGTTGCTATTCTCACCCTGGAATGGAAGTACTTATCTCAATGGCTAGAATGTAAACAGTATGAATTAGTTTCCTTTCCCCCTTTTTCTGTCCTGCAGTTACGGCACAGAAGAGCCCCAGGGGTGAGCGCTTTGCTGTTCATGAGCAGCAAAATCTGCCTCCTTCCCATTCACTCACCTGCAGAATACTGTAAAGCAGGCAGAATAGATCTGCATATGCTGGAGGCTTTGAATCCTCTCATCTACCTCCCCTACCTCTCTCCTTGGAATGCCTGTTGCTGCCAACTACCTGGCAATGGCTGTTGCTGTATCTCTGCCTCCCCTCACTGTTGGGAATCCCCTTTCTCCAGAGCCTCCTCTGAAAAAATACCCTGAGAACAGCATGTTCCCACAGTGTGTTCAATTAAATTAAGTATTATGGGAACAGCTTGTTCTCTTCAGAGCTAGAGAGTTGGCTGGTGGGAAAAGAAAAAAATAGCAGCAAGGGAGTAGAGCAGGAGAGAAAACAGGCAAGGATGAGCAGAGGGGGAGAGAAGGACAAGGGCCAGGAAGGAACTGGAATCAAGCAAGCTCATTTACCAGGCCAACTGTGCATTTTCAGCCAATCTATTAAAACAATTCAGTTTTTGATAGGAAGTAAGAAAACACAGCTCAACTGTTGGGGGCTCTTGGCCAGCTGAGGAAACAGGGAAGATGAGAAAGAGCACGAGGACAGACTGAAGGCACAAGGATATAGAAGATGCAAAAATATCACCAAGAAAAGAAAAAGAATTCTAACACCAGAAGGAGAAAGCAGAATAAGCTAAATAGCGTAGAGAGAGCAAGGAAGTTTGGGGCAACTTCTAAACCTGGCCCAGCTAAATCTACTGAGGTAAAGTGTCTGTAAGACATTTTTGCAAAAATCACTGGGGAAAACCAAAGCAAAAGAAAACTGGTCAAAACACTCTAGGCACCTAATTTTTTGTATGGGAAAGGAAACTATTGTCACTAGAATGTTAAAGTTTGAAAGAATGAAAGAAAGAAACAAACAAAAAATTCCTGATGGTCAGGGAAAGTGGTTACCTACCCCATCATCTGGAAAATGCAGCATTTATATCTTTCCAGTCTTAGATTTCTGAAACGCTCAGATCTAAACCAGAACTAATGCCTAGGGGAGATGCAAGGATTCTCTGGAGGGCCTCAGCTCTAATCACTGTTTTCATTCACATCATAGCAAAAGAAGATTGAGGGAGACCTGATAACAGTTATCACAAGGAAGAAGGCTAACACAGAGTAAAAGGGAACAATCTGCTCTCTGTGTCCAGACGAGTAAGATGAGAACTAAGAGGTTTAAGTTGCAGAAAGAAAGACTGGTTAGCCATTAGCAAAGCTTTTCTAACAGAGAAGTTAAAGAGTCTCCATCGTTACAAGGTTTTAAGAATTGGTTAGGAAACACATAGTAAAAATGGCCTGAAGCACAGCTGATCATGCCTGTTTGACTGTCTGAGGTCCCCTTCAATTCCATAAGTCTATGATTTTATGATACGGTGTTTTCTAGACATGGTGCTGAGAGAACATGGTGCTGAAAGAAAAGCTTATCAATGATGCATTGGATCCCCATGTAACCCAGGCTCACTTCCTGATAGGGATCAACTTCCTATCATCCCATAATAGGATGGAAACCTCTTACAAAACAGCATGGGATCACCAGGTAGACTAACAAACACTGCCACTTCCCTCCAGAGAGAAGTAAGCACTTGCAAGATACCTTACACGTGTGCTAGGACAGTCTCATTGTGCTTACATGCTTTTGGTTGTGATTAACATTCTGGTGGTTTATATTTACGTATGCAAACTTACTGGGATCCCGTTGATGCCTTGAAATCCTGGAACTCCCATTGGGCCCTGAAGAAAAAGAGTACACATTATATTTCACTTCATTAATCTGTATATTTCGGTTACCTGTGAGATACTTTTCACTCCAGCATTTTCAGTCTTGGACTTTAGCTTTCAAAACCAAAAGGAGCAAACTATCTCATGCAGATTCTCTCTGACCGCAGGGCTCAGTGAAGATAGGAACTGAGCATCTGAGCTTGACTGGATGCCAAATGAGTGTTTCAGGAATGTTTTAATCGGGCAGTTTAAAGTAAAAATATAATCTCCTACTGCACATCTGGGGAAAACAAGATGCCAGGAAAATAAACAAACCAGTATAAGCTTAACTCTCAGTGTCACACTTGACCTTCCCAGAGTTTTAACAGGACTTATGGGTTTTTCTGTCTATACTTGGAGATATGTAGACCACTGTATTAGCTTCAGACCACCCCTAGCTGAGTTGTAAGTAATTACCACTTTGTTCTACTGCTCTGCTCTGGGTAGGAGCAAAACAGATGGTGTAAGCAGAATCTCCAGCCTAAACTGCTCTTGGTTTGGAAAGGTAAAGCATATTGCTTCCACGAGGGATAAAGAGATAGAATCTTATTGCATATTGGTATTGCATATGTATCCATTTCAATGTATGAAAACAGCAGTTCTGGAGGAAATAAGGGATTTTTTCAGTGCAAGGAAATCCTTCCAATCATTAAAGGCCAGTTCTTATCCTGGGTTTCTGTGTCTTCCAAAATCCAGGTTCAATGATTTCAGTGTTATCTGCTAGAATTATGGAAATGCTATCATTCATACTGGCACTCAGTCCTTGTTTTGAATCCTCCATTCACTGACTTTCAGATGAATGCAACACCAAAGCAATGACTTTCATTGTCATCATTTTCAGTTCTTTGTCTTATGAGAAAAGGTGACTACAACTGCAACGTGTTGACTAATATTAAATGAGAAGAGGGTGTAACTGCAAGTGTATGCAAGTACAGTTGAGCTGGTTTTCATTTAGCTAGCACACTCAGCTAGTAGCTGGGAAAACATGGAAGACAAAGTCTACTTTGCAGGTCCTGGTACCTAAACTATCTGTCTTTTTCTTATTTGCACACATGACCTGCGCATCTTGCATCAAGTAGACTGGTAAGATGCTCTGGGACAGTTCCAGAATGCAAGATCTTCTCCTGATGTCCCAGACTTCCTTCAGGTTTTAGAAACCAGGCACAGCATACAGGACTTCCTCTGCCTTTTAAGTTTTCAAGCTATTGTCCTTGAAATATTCTTTTTGCCCAACTGCATAGGCACAAAAGTAGGAATCTCATCCCAGCCCCTGCATCAGACAGTATCAGACTTCCTCATTTTATAATCTGCTATATAAGCTCTGTCAGGCTATGTGGTGGGAGCACATACACTGCTCCGGCCGATGCGGCAGGACTCAGTGAGTTCTCTGCAGGCAACCCAAAACTCATGATGTGAACACATGCCTGGTGCACAATGTAAGATTTCCTTAAGGTGAACTATCCACATGTATCCACTCTTTACTGCTGAAAGTATTTGTTCATACTTCCATTCATTCTTTTGCCTAGCTCCAAACTCCCCTTTTGATACTTCCTTCCTAAGAAGAGACAGCAGAACAGATCTGAAGGGCATCAAGACATTTCTACGTTTGCTGTTCTGCCCATTCTTGCACACTGCATTCATTGACACCCACACCTTATGGGTTATTCCATCTAATATGACATAGGTTATAACATTCTTTCTCTTATAGATAACTTTGCACCTGCAAAAATGAATTGCAGGTTTCATTTAGTGCTCATTCCTTTTGCTTTTCTAGACACCAATTCGGGATCTTCTACACAGAAACCATCTCCAGGTCTCTCTGAACGTAGTGTCAGTAACACCCATCTATTCCTAGGCATGGGAAGTGAAAGACTACTTGCAACAGCAATACTCGTTTGGCTATGGTTCATCTACCAGGATGGCTACAATGTTCAGCAGCTTTAGGAACTATATTCTCATTAAAAAATAAAAGCAGGGGATTCTCTAAAGATACTAATGAAATGCTGTTGTGTTCTTACCCCTGGGCAGATAGTCCAAAATTATCTTTATTAATTCAAAAATATATACAAGGCCATGGATCTATTGCAGGGACAGAAAAGTCACTGTTGAACCTACCTTGTCGCCTTTCTGTCCAGCTGGTCCAGGGGGGCCCACTGCTCCTCTCTCACCTTTTGCTCCCGGCAAACCTTCTGGGCCAGTAAATCCAGGTGCACCTATCGGTCCTTGAAGTCCAATTGGTCCTGGTCGACCCTAATATACAACAAAAAATAAGTCAATACATCATGTTCACAAACTCCTTTGCAATTACTCTATCCCACTCAATTTTTAATGCAATTTGATACCTCTCAGGGTAGTTAGGACATCCTAAAATTTTGCCTGTACGTTCTCAGATACAGAGATTTTAGAGGTTTTTGGAGGTAGGTCATGAGTAATAGTAAGAAGTCTCCCCTTTTTCCTGGAAGATTTATTACTACCCATATTGCTGTAGGAAGGAACAAAGGAGGACAACAGCATTTTGAGTTCAAACTGCCTGGTGCTTCTTGAGTTTGCATCTCTATTTCCAAGTTGCATAGTGCAAAAAGTTTTGCTTATGCTTTAGATTAAGCACAACAAAAAGGTAACACAAGATGCAAGAAGTGCACGGGTCGCATACAGTCAGAAAGCACAATTTAGAGTATTTGAGACTAGTGCAATGGTTAGCTCAAGATTGGGATTGGTTCCACCGTGCTTTCCTGGTCACCTTATAGTCAGGGTGTGGATTTTGATTCTCGAGCAGAAAAAGGAGGGTGCAATGACGGAGCACTGCCCCGAGATGGCAGCCTTTTCTACAACTGCAGAGCTGAATCTGGGACTGATGAACTTTCATTGTTCTAGTCCTACAGGGGTGTGCAGAGTAGTCTGGTACTTGTTTCTGAAACAAGGCAATGTTTAGAAATTTTGCTCTGGGGCTCTGATTTTTTTGTTAGCCTCAGAAGCTGCCTCTTGGCAGCTGAACACTTAACACAGAGTTTTGTATTAACATTTTTGTACTTTTCATTTGGTTCATTTTGAGAGAATCTGAAAGAGATCAACAGAGCCTAAGGTCCCAGAGTGTCAGTAGAAAATGGCAGTTCAGGGCTATGGTTTCTCCTGGTAAGACAGTCAACGGGTTACATGAACTTCTCCATGCAAAGAATCAAGCCTTACATTAAAAAGTATAGAACAGAGGAGGAAGTTAAAAAAAAAAAAAACAAACCATAACCCTCCTCCTTTCCATTCTCCTCCACATTCATGTTCATGGTAGTGCGTTTCCCTTCTATTTCTCTAACTCCTTAAAACAGCAGAAGGAATGCAGCTCCCTGCTGCAAGTGTTTTAGTAATCTCAGCTGGAGACATACAAAGTCCTGACTCCATGCCTTGGCAGGTAAAAGACTTTACAGTTAATTTAAAAGCGCATTTTTACATGTTAATAATCAAAGTGAAACAAACTGTAATTGATTTTTAAAATTCTTTATCCAGCATCATTTTTAGTACCTGTTTAGGCTAAAACATTTCATCCCGTATTCCATGATTCTTCACTACTGGAGCAGTTTTCTTTCAAACTGCCGCAATTCCCCATGTCACTCTTTCTGTTGTGATTGTTTCATCCTGGCCTTTTAACTGAGGTCAAGTGCATGTTTTGTATTTCATACCTTTTCTGTCTAGACACTGTCCATACTGTGCGCTTCCAGAGGCACAGAGTCCTATCTGAAAAGGCTTTTCTGTTGACTATTTTTAGCTTTCTTCACTCCGGGCTAATTATCAATGGAATCCTTTATATTGGGAACCATATGATCAGAACATTAATCCCCAAATCTTCTGTGGTCCTTGGCAACGGTACACAACAAGGAACATGTTAGGAAAATCACATGCTTTGCTCTCACTTTTGGTCTCAGCTTTAACTTTTTAATTCCCTGCAGTCACAAGCTATTCAGAGCCTTTCAGGCCACGTCTCACTTACGAGCCATGGGTTGTGGACTGTTTGCCCCAAGGCAACGCAGCAATGGAGCCCGTACCCTAAAAATGGGCACTGTTACAGCCAGCCACCACCCACAAAAGCAACAGCATCCAAGAGTCCACCAAGTTTTCTAGAGAAAGCACACTGTGAATTCCTCACTTGTTTGAATTGCTAACACTTCTGTATTCAATTAGTTTGATTGCCTGGTTAATGACAGTGTTTCACAACGACTGGAAATGAAGAGGAATTAAAATTTTAGGAGGCTTTTGTTTTGCTCTGCTGCAGGTCACTTTGAGAAATATATCTAGATGAGACAGTAAAAACCAGTAACTACACCCTCTGCTTGTGTTTGGCTCTGCAGCCCTCTGACAGGAGAATTAAACACGTTCTCCGTGATTTCAGGGCCCTTTTGCCTTAGTGCCCTACAAGAAAGATTTTAACAGCACTTGAAGATTTTGTCCAGTGCCTTAGAGTGTCACTAAACCATAAAGGCACAGTAAAGTGCTTCTAATCTCTCTGATAATGGGATTATGCCATGATAATCAGACTCTCAAGAATTTCTACTGTTTCTTTTGAAGTCTATGCGGATGGAAATCATGTTTTCTATGCTGAAACAAAGGGCTTGCCTCCACTGCTAAAAAAGCAGCATTTTTCATCACTCAATGGCACTCCCATGAACCGTCCCAAGATAAAAGCATTATAAAGACCAGGCACTGTGGTGTGCAGGAGCAATTCCAGGATAAAAGCATAATGAAGACTCAGGTTTTACCACAAGGTAAACTTACAGGGTTCAATGCCAGGTGGAACTACTGTTTGACCTCAATGAGTTTACCTTGTGGTAAAAAGTTAAGTGCCTGGTCTTTACTGTGCTTTGGCATCAAGATTGCTCCTACTTCTCCAAAGGATAAAAAGAATAAAACATCTCTTAGTAGTGAGGACAACTTAAACATAAAATGTGGATTACTTCAAACAGAAACTACAGTGAATCAACAGAGCTCCCTATTTTTAATCTTTATTGTTCAATATATACAGTCCAGTAGCCTGTAGAAATGTCATTAGTAATTAATGCAAATGGTATAATTTTGGTCCCCTGGCTGCATGACAACCATTTTTAAAACCAGGAAAATTATAGAAACCTAGTAACACCAAGCAAGGACAAAGTCTATGAAATCACTGTGACCTGTGAATGTTTTCTCAAATGCCCACCAGAAATTCATATATTTGAAAACCATGACCTGCATTCTCAAACATATTTGTGCACCAGGCTTTTACTACACAAGCAGCACTAAATGCAGCCTGTCTTTCTGTAATAAATATGATGCTGGCAAAAAATGGCGTTATTTCTTGATATACCATGGCTTTTCCATAGATAATTTCAGAATTTTGACAAAGTTTGTGCCACAAGTTCAATATGAGTCATATGCAACTCTGTTATGCACTTAGCCATTGCAAACCACTAAAAAGACAGGGATGTCTCAGACATGCAGGTGTCCACTCTCAATGTGTGGTAACCAAGAGGTAAAAATGGCTGGGATAGGAACCTCCCATTGTTTCTGAATCACCACACTGCAGAAGGCAGTAAAACAAGATGGCCTGAAAATATAGTTTGATGGCAGTGTGTTTCAAGATGGAAAAGGTTGTACAACACGCGCCTTCTTCCCTTCACCCTTTGAATTCATCTGCATCCCAGGGTGTCATGAGGAAAGGCCAGTATGGTGGGTAATGATGGGGCCTCCCTACTGCTATACAATCCAATCCATCACAGTTCCTCTATTGTCCCTACCCCTTTTGCCAACTCTAATACCCCACATAAATTTTCGCCCACTAAAGCAGAGCTGCTACACAGCATTGCAAATTCCAAACATTCTTTTTTTCCCATTGCCTCTGTGAGCTTGGAGAATAAAGTGTAAATCTATTTGATTTGTCACTGTGCAAAGGAACACATGTGGCAGTGGTATGGAACGCCTGGACATGGCCCTTATTTCAGGGACAAAAAATAATACAAGTTCTTACTTACTCAGGGGCCAGTTCTACTAGCCTTACTCACTATCAAATACCAGCTCAGTGATCCATCACCAAAAAAGGATACTGGAACTCACCAAAGTGGGATAAATTTAGCAGGATTTGTAACTAAGCAGAATACTACTGGTCAGGTAGGGCAGAACTGATCCCCACTTCAAGCAGCAAAGCATTTTTATTACTTTTCTAAGCAAAACTAAGGTTCAGTTTATGAAAAGAGCAACTGAATGTAAAGATGTTCATGCTCTGTCAAACTAACACACAGTTGCTTCTCTATGAGAATTCAGTGACCAAATTTTAAAAAACAGTCTTATTCACACGCTCTATTTCTTCACCCATTATTTCCCCCATAAACAATGTTTTATCGACACAGAAAATTGCTAGCGGCAAAGATTTATTTCATGAGCAAGTAGTCTGAAGCATCTTATACTCGGTTAATTACATTAAGGCAAACCAAAGAGCCCACCATTAAATCATTATGGCCCTAACAATGTATGTTTTGATATACTGCATACACTAAGCAGAATCTAGCCCGAAACTTTCAAGGAAGACCTATGTACTCGATTCCCATGTTGTACAGGATAGCCCGTACAAGGGACTGAGACCCTTCGAGATGCTTTTTCACACAGGCAAATGGCATTACCCATTTAAGTCATGGCCATTCTCCCTGATCAGGGATGCCACTTTACAAAAGGCAACACACGACTCATGCCGAACTCGGATGGTGTCTATAGGTGACTTATTGGTGCAAGGCAGCAGTGTCCATTAGTGAGTAGCATGACCTTGGGCTAACCACTTCTACTTTCTACCTCCATTTCCTCCCTTCTCCTCTTCGGTCTGCCCTGCCTTTGCTGCAAGACTCCTGCGGCAGTGGTTATCTCTTGATAGACAGACAGTGCCTAGCACAAGAAAGTCCTGGTCTCAACTGGGGCCCCACAGTTCTACTGTAATAGTAATAATTACTGATGAAAAACCCTTCACTATTTTCCTAAATTACAGGTCAGGTATCCAGTGCCCTGCTCACATTCCAGAGTGAGTAATTATTTTCCCTACTGAAAAATGCTTTGTACTTTTAAAGAAAATTATTCTTCAGTTTTGTCTTCTAAAAACTTAGGGAAAGTCTTGTTCAAAATGGTTTCTTTATTTCTGTCATATAATTTACTGTTCCTTTACACAGCTTTTTACCCACACAGCATGAGATGAATACACAAAATTGTATATACACACAGAAATAATGGACCAGGAAAAGCATCTG